GCGTTGCTTTTGGGCTCCTATCAAGGCTTGCTGCAGGATGGCAATGAGGTGCTTAACATTTTGGGCCTAATTCTGCCCTTGTGATCAGGCCAATGGCTCTCGCCTGAGTCAGCAGAAGCTGTCTGAGTGTAACTGGATGAGGTGCGATCAACCCAGATGATCATAAATGACCTTTTCTGCCTTTAACATCTATTTTTTTTTTAATGGCAGTGGCTGAATTTGCCTCTTGAGAAGGGTACTATTCCTTTAGTCTTCACTAAGAAGCACAAGAGGGGCTGTTCCAGACAAAAGGCCCCCAGTGAAGGAGAGGAAGTGAGGGAGGGTGGTTTTAGGGGTACTATTGTTGTCTTTCATCTAGTAGAGCTCCTTGGTCAGTACTAGAGGAAGGAGACTGTTGACACTGTCACAGGACAGCCCCCATAAGAAGAGGCAAAGACAAAATCCCTTCACGGTCCCTTAGGCTCTTCATCAATTCACCTGCACCATGCGTGTTTCCAGTACATCCTTGGGTGCCTGTACACAAGTGCAGAAGCTGCTCCAACAGGCTGTAATTACTAGATTAATCGAGTCTGCTGGAGCATAGCAATCACCGTGCTCCAGCAGCCTTCTGCATCTCGTGTATCAGCATCCCCCCACTTAGAAATGGTTGCAGCATTTTGCAACCATTCATTTGGCAAGCTTTAGGTCAAGTGCCCCAGGCAGTATTTTTAAGCGCGGGAGGGACTCTGATACATGAGACGCTGCAGTGTTTTAATGACAGCAGCTCTCAGAGCCAGTGTAATTAAAGTGTTGCCCTTCCCACCCCCAAAGCATGTGTAAAAGTGCCCCTTGTGTTTGTCCCTTAGCCACTGTTGGTTGTCCAGTGAGCATTACTGTACTCACTGGGCACGTCTACATGTTCATTAATGCACCTTAGATACTGTGCATTTAGTTTAGTACTTCCTTAATAAAGTGCTAACTAAATGTACAGTACCTAGAGTTACTGCACAGTAGCACTGGCGCAGTTATTTAGTGACACTTACTTAGCCTACTGCACAGTGTTATTAGACTAATGCTGTTAGCATGGTTTTTACTGTGAGACACTACTTCCCAGTATTATTAGGCCAATGCGTCTTGCGTAGACTCATCCACTGTCTTCTGCACCAACATTTTAAGTTGTTCCCCACCACAGTGGAGGAGGTGATAGGAAAGGCAGCGTCAGATCACATCCTTCCTGCCAGTAGAAGTGCTGGTTGTGCTAGGACATAGTTATGCTAAGCTATAACTACAGTGCTGAAACGCGGTATGGGGGAAATGGGTCTCATGATTGCTGGATGACCCAATTTAAAAATAAAATAAAATAAAAACACACTAATGAGTACAAAGATACTGATTCAAAGAAGGGAATAGGAAAACAGCAGCTGAAAAACTCGAGGACTAGCATAAAAAGTAAGAAGTCGCTCACGAGACAGAGATAAGAAACAAAATGTAGGTGTATAGAGTTTGCACCAAAAAAATGAGTAGAGATGAGCATCTTGATGGAGAGAGAGAAGAAGAATTTGTATGAGATGGGGTGGGGGGCAGGCAAATATGAACATAGGGGTTGTGAGACCTGTCCCTTATAGAAGATTTGGGGGAGCATGAATAATATACAGCATCTTTACCCACCAAGGACAAACTTTGCTAAGTTGGACTGACTGTTAGTTTGGCCAACTGCTGCATTGTCCAAGAACAACAAAGTTTTGAGCTTTTGCCACCAAACACAGATCTGAATTGTATTTTCTGCATTGCCAAGAGCATATCACCACCTCTTGGCAGAGACCCTCATTTGACCTTGCTTTTTTTTGGTGTTTTTTTTTATTTGGGAGCTCTTAAACATCAGAGATGTTACCAGGGATCACTATGTGGAAGTGGCTCTCGTTGATCCCCATTTGCCCCTGTGATGAACTATCATAACTGCATCTGTATCGGACCACGGCCATGTACAGGGAGCATGGAGGACCCTGTCAGGTGGGAGCTGGTCGTTTATGGTGGTTGGCCCCCACCAGCTTAAGGGAGTCATGGCCAGATGCATCAGGGCAATGTGTTTCAGTCATGTTGGGGGCATGGGAGATGAAGAGGAATCTCTGCTTAGTGATTTATGGTCCCTGTGGAGGACACGGCTCATGTCCCCTCTTTGTCATTAATTTGCTAGCGTGTGTGACCCCTTCTCTGCCAGGGTCCAAACAATCTCTGGTGCAGTCGACAATTCATTCAAGGACTGCTCCCTTCAACCTGAGGCTTGTGTTAACACTGTATTCCTCCGTCTGAACCAGGCAGCTAGGGAAGCGCAGTGGCTGTGCGTGCCCTGTGGTAGTTGTATTTAATACACAGAAGCCGACTTTCTTTCATGCAGCCACTATTTCCCCTCATCTTCTGCCTTGCAGCTGTTATACTTGTTGGCCAAGGAGCCTCTATGGCTTGGGCTGGGCCTCCATTGTTGGGTGCTCAATGAAACACCACAGTGGAGGCTTGATTTCCAGGCAACAAGTGCTTCATCATCATCATTGGCAATCCTTCAAAATCGAGGATCACTGTCGTCCATGATTGTCTTATCTGTGAGTCCAGAGTCGGCTGACAATGCCTTTCCAGGATCGACAAGCTCTGTTGCAGCTTGGGTACGTGTTTCTATGCAGGATGGGTGGCTCTAGGTTCTCGATTTGCTCCGTGATGCACTGTTTCTGCTACTCCCGCTTTTCTGTCTCCAGTTGTCATCATGAGGCTTCAAAGTACTGAGATCCTTGCAGCAGGATCTTCCTCCATTTGGGGTGCTCCTGAGTGATAGTCTCCCACGAGTTGATATCGCTGTCGTATTTTCTTCAAGCTGGCCACGAGAGCATCCTTGAGGCACCTTCTCTGCCCTTCTCTTGACTTGACTTCTCTTGACTTGACTTGACTTGACTGCCCTTCTCTTGACTCTGCCTTGACCGAGCTGGGAGAATAAAACTTGCTTTAGGATTTTGGAGTTAGACATCCAATGTGGCCAGCCCAGTAAAGTTGATGTGGGATGCTCACTGTTGCAACGCTCATGGTGTTTGCTTATGAGAGGACACTAATGTTGGTGTCTCTGTCTAAAAATCAAGTCCCTTTACAACATCTTAATTTGGGCACCCCAAATCACTGGCAATGTGGTTCTTTATAGACTAAAGCTCTATTAGACCTTCGAGTCTGACTTGCAACGCAACAAAAGCCAAAGAATTTCCTCTAGTTGCTATTAAAGTGGCATCCAATTCTTCCCTTTTCTTCATCTCCAGCCAAACAATTTCAAAATGTCAAAGTAGTTTCATTTACAAATATTTGAACTAGGCCTGGGTTTGGGGGGGTTTGTTTTGTTGTGTTTTTTTGGTTTATCTGTTTGGTTAAAAAAAAAATTCAACTTTAATTGGAAATGTCCTCTCAATGGGTTGATGTACTCAATCATTACAAAAACCAAAGTAGAAAAGAGAATTAAGACATTACCCCTTCCTATTTAAAAGCAAAACCAACCTAACAAAATTAACCGTTTGGGGTTTTTTCCCCCAGGAAAAAAGAGTCTCCTTTTTTTTTTTTGCGGGTGGTGGGGGTGGTTCGTTTTGGGGGTTTTTTGCTGTTGTTTTTTTTTTTAACTTCAGTAAAAGGCCTTTTCATTCAAAACCCTTTTCAACAAGCTCTCAGTCTAGGTTTAGTCAGAGATGATCCTGCCTTGAGCAGGGGGCTAGACTAGATGACCTCAGGAGGTCCCTTCCTGCCCTACTTTCCTGTGATCCTTAGTAATCAACAGATGTCTGACAGTTCACGCTGTTTCACAGTCAGAGTTAAGGTTGTTCACAGCATCTGAGCTCTAAATTTCCTGGCATTCACATGCCTGACACTGCTGAATTCCTTCATGTCTACTTACGAGCTTAGGCCAAAACTTTCAAACTTCATTGCCTGCAGTTTGGCTCCCAACTGCACACTGAAGCCCCTACATGTAGGTAGCCCGACTTCCACCCCCAGCCCCCGATTCTAATAGGACCTTTGGGTGCTGAGCAGCACGAGATAGCACTGCCATTTAGGCTCTGCAGGAGCAGTTTTGGGCACCCAAGTTCTAAAATGAAAGCCGTGCTGTAGCTCCAGCAAAGTTGATTAATTATCTTCAAAAGTCTTTCGCATCCTCGATCTTCTTACCGTGCAAATTCAAGGTGGAAGCCACGGGCACGGGTGAACTGGGTGGCCGCCCGAGGCCTGTACAGAAAGGGGGCCCAAAAGTGATAATTTTTGTGTTGTTATTATCATTATCTCCGGCAAAGGGAAGCTGGATACTAAACATTTCCCTGGGGCCACCGGGAGTCTAGGTATGGTGCTGGGAAGCCATCGTCTCTCTTGCACGGTGCATCTGGTTTGATTAAAGCATGCATTTTACCTTAGGGATGCAGCTGTGGGCATGAAGCACTGCACTTCTACTGAGCTGGGGGTAGCCCTGCTTTCTTCATGACACTTGTTTCCTTTTTCAAGGCCCTTTGTGACCTGTTTTTATCAGGCCGCTGACCTTGACCAAGCTCCTCGGTCCTACTACAGTATGACACCCCCTAATAACAAAAGCACGGAGTTGCCACCAAGTCCAGGAAAGCAGAGTCGAGCTTTGAAACTGTATGTGTGTATATGTGTGTGTGTGTGTGTGTATATATATATATATGTATATGTGTGTGTGTGTGTGTATATGTACACACATATATACATATACGCACACACACATGTACATATATATATACTCTGTGTGTGTGTGTGTATGTATGTATGTGTGTGTATACACATATATATATATATACATATATGCTGACAATCACCTAGTGTTCCCCTCGCCCTTTAAAACACAGGGACTCCCTTCCCCAGCCCCTTGTATCTGCACAGTCCCAAGCATCAGCTCTGTAATCTCTCCTGAGCTCCTCCCCTTGGTAAGAAGGATCAGGGGTATGAATGGGCAGGCGATTGCACTGTATCAGGTACAGTGAGCAAAGCAGCGGCAGGCAAGGAGGAGAGGCGGCACTTTAACTCCTTCCAGGCGAGGGCTGTTCATTTACCCGGCACGTTTTCTCTGGGCAGACTGAAAGCTGGACTAATCGCAGCTCTCGGTGGAGAAGGTGGTGGTTGCACGTCCTGCGAAGGTAAGTCGGTCCCCGGAGCGAGCCTGGAGCTGCACAGCGCGGGGTGTCTGGATTGCTCGACTTCTAAGGATTTGCTGGAAAGCCTCTTAGAGCGGCAGGTCCTCAGAGCTGGAAATGCTTATGGGGGGCTGCTTCCTTTTCGCTTCTCGGACCTGAATCGTGCCGCTGTTACTGTCGCGCAGTTACTGTTTGCTTCTGGGGCACTGCTCGGGGTGGCTTTGCTGTCCCTGTCACCCTTGAACAGATCTTTTCCAAAAGCAGTGCAACCTCAGGGCAGGGGATGAAGGCATTGTTTTATAAAGATAGGTGCCTTTAAGGCGATAAACAATAGAGCAGGTGGCTTCGGCGCACTCTGCCATTGACAGATCGGGGCTATTATTATTAGATGAGTTTGCTGATTTAAATGACACCAGGATTACAGCAGTGAATCCTCCCTTCCCCTTTTAGACGTATCATGTCCATAATCTCTTCAGGGGTCCCCAGCACTTGACTGAAGGCAGAAAAGGGTTCAAGTGGCAATAATTGTAGTCCAGCCGAACAACCGGAAACAGCATAGTACTACTAGTCTTAAAAATATGCTGATAGAAAAGCTGGGTCTGATGCCATCATTTATATCCACTCCGCTTGCAAAACAGACCATCCCGTAGATGTTCAAAGCCATGTTTGTGCAGGCTTCATTGTCTGAGTTTGCTTCTGCAGCCAGGATTAGAGAGGGAAGTCATGCCCATGCATCTGCTTAATTTTGCTTGGGTCACTTAATAAAAACAAGGAGGCTGAATTTGTTCGCGGACAAGAATGAATGTTGCTTCTCATTCTGTGTTCCCGGGCCACGGCCACTGCCGGTGTCTGTGCATCTGGGGGGGAAGGGAGACCTGACACAAGCCCCTGCAGACCGAACCCCAAAGCTTTTACAAGCGCTGCAGTTAAGCCTGGAGTAGAGTAAAGGTCCCAGATGGTGAATACACTTTAAAACATCGCCATTTCAGAGGCACCTGCTCGGATTGAACTCCCAAGAACTTGCGCTCCCTTCATGATGAAAGCAAGAACATCGATGCTTGGAGACTGGCTCGGGCCCGAGAGTCGATCCAGCACCATCTTGCCTCTGCCGGGAGCGACTCTGGCATAACCTCCCCCATGGGAACATTTCCACCGAACACCGGGAATATCACCCCCATATGGTTTCAGCGCTGGGCGGTTCTGGTTATGCAGGGTCTCTTAGGCCAAGTACAGACATTGCAATTAAACTGGTCTAAGGGAACTAGGTCTAAACCTGTAACCATACAAAAGGTCGGTGCACATAGACCAGTCTAAAAATGCAGAACCTGGTCTAAAATAGACCTGGTTCGATGTGCCCTCAAATCTAATTGATTTAGGTTATACCAGTGAGTTGAACTTCTGTACTAGATCTCAAGGGGTAACATCCTTTGGCATCTTGGCCCTGGAGATCTTTCCAGTCCTGACGGGCTGTGGAGGTAGTATGGTTCGAGTGCCAGCTAGGGAGGATGGGAGGAGGAGTCCTGTGTCTCTTCAAACTGGGATGGCCCGGTAGGTCTCTAAAACCCTCCCCAGAGGGAACTGGCTGCTCCTGCACCCCCAGGCTGCCATGCTCGTGTGCGAGTGACTCCATAGGTGCTTGCAGCCCAGGGGGAAAGAGGGCCCAATCCCTCCCTGTTCACGTAAGGGTAAAACATTTGGCCCATCCTGAAACTGTTCACTGAAACATTGGCTATATTCTCCTCGGGGCCCCATTACTGTGTGTGCATATCTGTCAGCCCTTATTAGCTTGAGCTGAGGGCCCGGTGGCTCCCTGTGATAGCTGGAGTGCTTGTGGGTCACGGGAAGCAGCCTCTGAAAAAGTAGGATGGTCTTGTATGGCCAAAGCTATGGTTAGGTATCTGGGTTCAAGTCTCAGCTGTGCCACAGACACTTTGTGAGACCCTGGGCACTTCCCTTAATCTCCCTTCCTTGAAATGGGGATAAGATATCCCTATCCTAGGAGAGGTGTAGTGAAGATAACACCCATAATGGAGCGCTGCTTATAGACTCCAGTAACTGGGCCCATTAGAGGTGCTGAATCAATTGAATAGTGGTTTAAGGTTTAGGATGTCATCAGCTGCTGCCTGGCGGTGTCTGAGCTCCACTGACTTCCAAATAGCTTTATCTAAATGGATATTCTTTGCAAATTTGCATCCTCACTGATGCTTTTCAGACAGTCTGGGTCTTTCAGTGATGGCTGACTTTTTCATGTACAGTTTTGCATTTCCTGTATAGTTTTGCATTTCCCCCTCCCTGGTTTTCATCCCTTGCGATGAATCTGTTGCTTCCTGGTTTGCACGGGCCAGCTCTTTTGAGTGCAGTGTGTCAGTCTCATGCTTGCTAACTTGTGACTTCACAATCCTTGGGTTGCCATGGGAAGGATTATGCTGCGATTAATGAAGCCATTGTCAGCTTGCAAGCTTTCAGAGCCTTTTCTTGATCTGCAGAGAACAGCTTTCAGGCCTGATAGAAGAAGGGGTAAAATTGGGAGAAACACATTCTGGCATTTTTTTAAAAGACTATCTCAGCATGGTACAAAGCTGGTGTGCTACTAGCCCAGGTGCAGGACTGGGATCTCAGTGGCATTTGGTTTGGGCGCTAGTTATGAGCTTGGGTTGACCAAGCACTGCCAGGTTGTAATTGCTGTGTTACTTCCCCTCTACGAAACCTGCTCCACCGATTCCCTTTTCTTGCGAAGCAAAGTTTTGGGTGCAATCATTTATCATTTGCTTTGGGAACAGCTGAAGACAGTGCCATGCACTTGGTGTGTGGTGGGCAGGCTGTGGGCATGGAGATATTCTGTGCTCATGGGACACTGCTTTCTCTGAGAAAGACAGGCCTGGACGTCTGTGAGGACTGGGGTTCCCTTTCAGCTAGCACAAGGGATGGTCTCTACTGTGCAGAGATTACAGGCTATTATTACTGCTTACATTGGCAACTAGATGCCCCAGTTAAGTTTCAGGACTTCATTATGCATGGGGCTGTACACCCCTACTAAGAAGCAGGCCCTATCTTGAACCCTATGGGGTGCTTGTACACGCTGCGTATTGTTTAAATGCACATTACGAAACAGCACCAAATATTGCCATCTTACTAGCTTCGTCACGTGTGAAAATACACGTTGCTGTCTCTTTATCGTGGTAGGTTTCGATGTATTGAGGTAAATTAGACCACCTCCGACACATTTTAGCGTGGCCAATTGTTCCACCAGGATTTTATTTTATCGTGAGACTTTTGTGACGTATTCTTGCACACAGCTAAAATTGCCATTTTCCCAGTGAAAATAGGAGCATTGCTATACTCATTCACGGACAAGGGAGCTGGGCCCAATAGGGTACATCTAATAAAGGACATAGGAACGCACAGCAGGGCTCAGGTATAAGTCCAAAACCTGGAGACATCTAAATTCTTGACATTAAAATTGTCTTTCTACCTGAGTTCCCAGAGGGGCTAGATCTGATAGGTGTGTATGTCCTTTATTGGATCCAGCCCAAAGGAAATAATGGCACATCTATGGGTATGTTGATGGGAATTCCTGCATGAACCTGGGCCTAGCACTGATAGAGTGAGCCCTGCCTCCTTGTTCTGCTGGGTATATTGGTGGCCGGCCATTAGGGTGGCTCGGGGACATCTCTATGTGTTAGTCTAGGACTGCAGTGAGGGTCTTTGTCTCAGGAGAAGTGCTGGAGGGGCGCTCACATCTGTTCCAGGCTATTCAGGGCAGGGGAAGGAGGCAGCCAAAGGGATTCTTGGCTCAGTTTGGGGAGAGTCCCTGCAGACAGCACCTCAGACTAAAACCTAGATGTGATACGGGACTTGTGGATCAGCTTAAGAAACAGCAGGGTCCATGCGGTTGGAAGAGTGGGGTCCATGCAGTTGCTGCATCCTGTGGGAAAGAAGAAAGGCAATCGTTCATGGCGCTGACGGGCCAAGTCTGGGAGAGCAGAGGGGACTGGGCCAGAGGGGGGTCTTGCCATGCAGCTCTAGCTCAGTGGTGGTAGACTTATATGGAGCCTATATAATTGAGATCTGACTTGTACTTTAATAGATAAAGCCTCTCAGGGAAGGAGGGGGGCATATTTTTTGTAGACTTTCCATTTGACAGAGCTGTGAAAGGTCAGTCGATGAACCCTCCTGCCCCTTTTGCTGGTAGACTTGAGTCCTGAGGTGCAGGCAGCCCAGCTTTCCTTTCCTCCCACGCTCTCTTCAGAGCACTGTGCCGCTTCCTGACATCTATGAATGGCAGATAGACCAGAGCGGGTGCAACCTCTTCACAGCTAAGGAACTTAGGGTGTGAGAAGGAATAGCCAAGAAGAGATGGGAGAGCCCTGCTAGGATGGGAAGAAGTAAACCTGTCGGCGCAGTCTGCTCCCTTGTCTATCTCCCTTGCATGGCTCAGAGCAGGCCGTACAGCTTCAGTCTTGCCGTTATGCGGTAGGTGGTGTCCAGTACGGGGCATTTTTAAAGGTATTTGGGCAGCAAACTAGGTGCCTAGTCAGGAGTATTGAAGATGTGTGATTTGGCCCCACACATCTCTCCAAAGCCTTTGTCATTGGCAGGGACCTTGGTTTTCTGTGTATAAAAATCCCAAATTCTCTGATCAACCCCCCCACGAAATTGGTGGTTTTTTTCTGTGATTAAAATGAGATGCCACCATATTATATATAATTTATATTTATAGGTACCAGTTCAACACAATGTTTTATTGATACATTTACAATTTGAAAGCAAGTTGGAAGCCCACCAGTGCCTCAATAAAATAAATTTAAAATATCTATATATTTTGGCAATTGATTTTGTTTTTTGTTTTTATCGTAGAAAATCAGAGCTCCCTCTGCCCCCTTTGTTCACCAGGATGTGGGTTCAGCTGCAGCTGTCCCCTACCTCCCTCTGCTGCCTTGTGGTGCTGAGCAGCCCTAATATGCCAGTGCCCTGCCCTTGCCCATGCCATTGCCCCTCACTCC